CAAAGTGGACTGGGCGTTCTGGCCTGCCTGCAAGGACCATTGAGGATAAAGACTTTGTGGATATGATGAAACAAGCCGACTAAAGGTTTAATGTGTACAGTGTGATATATATGGTAAAAAGAGAATCAGTGTGTGGAGAAGCTCTATTCTGCACAGTGTTATATAAATAAAATAGAGAAAAAGAGAAGATGCGTGTGAATAATTTTTATTCTGTACAGTGTGAAAAAAGCATTGTGTGGAGAAATTCTATTATTTACAGTGTTAACTAAAATGACAAAAATGACTAAAATTGGACTAAGACTAAAATTGAGTTTTGTCATTGTGTCTAAGAATAAGACTAAATAAAAAAAAAAAGCTGCCAAAATTAACATTGCTCAATACCCATTCTTTCTGACTGATGTTTTTGTCACTTTTGAATGTTGGTGGTGCCACACTCGTGGTAGTATGAGACAGACTCTATAACCCACACAGGTTGCTGAGGTAGTACAGTTCATCAAGGATGGAACATCACTGCGAGCTGTGGCAAGAAGGTTGGATGTGTCTGTCAGTGTAGTGTCTAGAAACTGAGGTGCTAACAGAAGAGAGGCCATTACACCAGGTGACATGGAGGAGGCCGCAGGAGAGCAACAACCCACCAGCTGGCCACTACCTTCGCCTTTGTCTAAGGAGGAACAGAAGGAGCACTGCCAGAGCCTTGCAAAATGACATCCAACAGGCCACAAGTGTGAATGTGAGGGCAGAAAATGTTAGAAACTGACTCCAGAGGATGGTGTGAGGGCCTGACGTCCACTGATTGGGGTTGTGCTCACAACCCAAAACCCTACAGGATGTTTGGCATTTACCAGAGAACACCAGGATTGGCAAAATCATCACTGGTGCCCTGTGCTCTTCAAAGATGAAAGCAGGTTTACACTGAGCACATGTGACAGGGTCTGGAGACACAGTGGAGAGCGCTCTGCTTCCTGCAGCATCCCTCAGCATGACCAGTGTTGCAGTAGGTAAGTCATGGTGTGGACTGGCATTTCTTTGGAGGCCCACTCAGTTCTCCATAGGCTCGCCGGAGGTAGCATGACTGCCATCATGTACCAAGTTGAGATGCCTTTTGAGCCCATATGCTTGAGGTTGGACCATGGTTCCTTCTAATGAAGGACAATGCTAGGCATCATGTCACTTGAGTGTGTTAACAATTCCTGTAAGATGAACGCACTGAAGCTATGGACTGGCCTGCCCATTCTCCAGACCTGAATCCGATTGAGCACTCCTGGGACATCATATGTCGATCCATCCACCAATGTCACATTGCACAGACTGTCCAGGAGTTGGTGAATTCTTTAGACCAGGTCTGGGAGGAGATCCTCAGAAGACAATCTGCCACCTCATCATGAGCATACCCAGGCATGGTAGGGAGGTCATACAGGCACGTGGAGGCCACACACAATACTGAGCCTCATTTTCACCTGTTTTGAAGACATTACATTGTTAGGATAATTGGATCAGCCTGTATTGTGTTTTGCAACTTTCATTTGTGTGTGACTTCAAATCCAGGATTCCAATCGGTAATACAATTGATTACCGATTGACATTTTATTGTTAGAACACATTCAACTTCATACAGAACAAAGTATTCAGTTAGAATATTTCATTAATTCAGATCTAGGATGTGTTATTTGAAATTTCCCTTCATACTACTTTATTGGAGTAGTGGATTTCCAGATAAACATAAGACCAGAGGTGACGCTAGGCATTTGTGTGCCGTAAAGCAAAAATTCTGTTTGTCATGCCCTCCAACTGGAAATGACTGATATAGCATTTGTATTTGTTTCTTTCTTGTTATTTCCAAAATACCCTCTGAACTTTATACTGAATTTCTGGAAAAATGTAGCAATAAATAAGAGGAGAAATAAAAATTTTGAAAAAAAATCTAACTAAATTTCCACACATGGTAACTGTTTTACCTGTCATGGAGAAAAATGAATAAAGACAACTGATTTTAGGATGGATTAAAATAAGGAAATAAAATGCAACTATAAAAAGCTGTTTCAAAGAAAAAGCGAGTGGGAATGCTTCTTTCTGCTGAATTAAATTAGAAAAAAAATGCTAAAGAAACTGAATAAGAGAAAAAAAAATAAGCTGAAGAGTATGTGAAAATGTGATAGTAAGTAATCAGAAACTTCAAACTGCAAATAACAGTTGAATCATCTGAAGATTTTTTAGCGTAGAATCATTTGGCAGAATAATGGCAGAAACACAATCATCTTAAAAGTAGAACATTTTGTGAAATTTGATGAACCAGAACCAGAAGAAAAATTCCAAAAGCATCTATTTACCTGGCAGTCGACAGAAGTTCAGCTAAAGATGTTCTTAAAAAGACAAAGTCCTTTGTAAAAGAAAAGAGCAAAATCAGCAAAATGTAGTAAAAGAGTAAAAGATACAGAAACATTTTTATATCACAAGAATCAGCAGTTGTTGATGAACAACAGTGCCAAGTTTCATGTTTCCTCAAAAAAGAACATGGTGATGATGATGTAAAAAGGAGAATTTTGAAAGATTTTGTTTTGAAAATGTATTGTTTTGAGGCCCCTCAAATCTCTTGGATCTCTAAAACATTCCTTCAATATGAGCATTAGAGATGAAGATAATCTGTGCTAGCTGTTTAGCTGAGCTGTTTGGGCATAGGAAAACGCTGATTTTGGAAAAAAAAAGTCTCAGACTGAAATCTTTCAAAACAAACCATATTTTTACATTGTGAACATGGTGAAATTGTTTTTGGTAGAAATATGAAAGTTGGCATATTTGGGAATGCTTAATGCCTTCCCACTATATAAGAAAATAGGCACATCACATTGCATAGTCATTATCAAGTCAATGTACACTATAAATCATGTAATATGAGATATTATACAAATCTATCACAACAAAATTATTGTGTTAATAGAGCACAATAATATATATCTGCCAAAAGTGCTAAATTGATTATGTACATTTAATATACATGTATTTATTATACAATGCTGTGCATGTTACTGTACACTGATTAAAAAATAAAAAAATTATTAAAAAACAATTTTACCCATATATAATATATATGGGTAAAATTATTATTATTAAAATATATGTATATATATATATATATATATATATATATATATATATATATATATATATATATATATATATATATATATATATATATATATATATATATATATATATATATCAATGAACATGAATTCAACATACTGTTGTAAACAGAGAAACGGAGAAAGAAGATGTCTTTCAGTCATCACTTCACACGTTGGTGGTCACAGTTTCATTCACAACACCTGTCCCATCAACGAGGAATCAGAATCAGAATCAGAAATACTTTAATAATCTCAGGATGCAATTACTTTTGTTACATTGCTCCATCTGTAATAGAGTGACTATTATACCAGTTTGATATAACACAACTTCATACAATATATGTAATTAGGGTGCCCTCGTTCCATCTTGCCATCAGTTTGGTGTTCCTTGGCCTGGAAAACGTTGAAGACCCCTGGGTTACCACATCCACTGACACTGAAATTACCTGTGAAACCACTTCCCACGCCCGCAAACTGCTTGTTTTTGCAGCCAAATTCTACAAATGTAGGCATTTTTACTGCGCGTCTCCGTGGGAGTGGGGAGTACCAGCATGGCGGGTGGTGGCTTCACTTCTTTGAGCAATCAGAAATCTACTGAATAAATAGAGATCAGTGGGTCCAAAACTACGGGTTTGGAAGGCTGATGATTACCTAAATATTGAACAATCGTTCCAGCCACTGAATAAAGAAAACATGCCCACTGTTATGTTGAATATATGCACAGGAATAACTTTATATCAGGAAATGAGCACAGCACTAACATCTGCTGGAATGATGATGCCATCGGCCGTGATTGAAAGTAATTCTATCTTAAAAACCAGATCAGCACAAATGTCATTTTTACCTAAACACAGATAAAGTAGCACTGAAAAAGTGGGCTAAATAGTTTTAATTAAATTTTTCTGAAAAGCTTAAAGGGGGATAGTTAACCTCTGGTTGACCTGAAAAAACAATATTTAATATCTCTTAAACAACAGCAGCACATATGATCTTTATTTTTATTTTTTATACATTTTTACAACTGACCATTTTAAGTAAACAAACCTGCACTAAAGAAGCAATAACGTTTCAGTCTATTTTTTTTTCTTCACATCATTGGGGAGTCAGCTTCACGTCGCTGAAGCTCCTCCTATTTAATGAAGCAGTCGAGAGTGTAAACACTGTGCACCTGAAATGCAGGGCGGTGAACTACCTTGGGGGCTCATTTAAATCAATGCATTCACCGCCTCCTGTGTGAAAACGTCATAAGAGTTTCTACAATATTTAATTTTCCATTGAGATTAATCAAATATTTTTGAATTGAAATAAGAGTCTAAAGTCAGCTTTTTCCTTAATGTTCTTTCTTGAGTGCCACCATTTAAACAGTCGTATCATTTTAGATTCTTTTTTGATTTCTACAAGTTTGACATCATTGGAATTCTTAGATATCACTTTTTCAGGATCATTTAATAACCCAAAAGGGCCCCAGCTGGACGTGTTCATGGATTTGTCATAGCCTTTCACGTTTGAAGAGGCAGTCTAATCCTTATCCCTATCCACTAAATGTTTACACTTACTTTTATCCGTTAAAACAACTGTTGGTTGGTAAAACACTTCGGCTGTACTGAACCCCACCCCCCAACAACCACTGGGAAAAGTAGAGAAATACTTTGTCTGTAGTTGGACCAAAGTAAAGAAGGTGAAATTACCCAGGTAAATGAGTATGAAAGTATTACCCGAACCTTAAAAAAAACCTAGGCTGGGGCTGTGGCTTTTGAGTAGCAATGGAAAAGCGGCTTTTGTCTGGCTTCTCATGAATGTGCTCTTCCTAGTGTATATAGTTCTTAGATAAGACTAATGAGGAATATGTGTGTTTGTGTATTTGCATGTGCCATGAAGCTCTTTGGTTTAGCTGCAGCAGCACAGGTGAAAACAAGCAGAGAGACCAAGGGCCAAACTTTGTCAATCCATTTGTCGTGGGCTGTTGGGGTGATGTCTGCCACATTCCTTACAAAGGGGATTTCAGGTAAACATTCCTGGTAAACTATAATAATTATCTAAATGTTGTCTGGGGCTAATACATTAACTAGTAATATCCAAAAAGTATTTGTCACAGAATAATTCTTTCTTTCTCCTTAGGTGCCCACCTAAACCCTGCTGTGTCTCTGTGTTTCTGTATATTGGGGAAGCTGCAATGGGGTTACCTGGTGCCCTACTTTCTCTCCCAGGTTGTTGGGGCCTATGTGGGAGCGGCTCTGGTCTATGCACTATACTATGGTTTGTCATTCTAATATTAACCAAGGAAAAAAATCAAGGGAATGCCAAAATAACCAGTTCTATAAAGGCAGAACAATAAGAAAATAACACTGACTCTGCATCAGTTTAAAATATTTTTCTAGGAATAAATTGTATTTTCTCAATTGTAAAAAGGATTCAACCTTTTGAAAACTACTTAACTATCTTTGAACTAAAAATGTTTTTTGCAGAAAAAAGCTGTTAGAAAATCATATCTCTTGATACAGGGAAAGGACACGTGTCAGAATACTCACATACATGTTTACTACCTTAAAAACTAGTATTTTAAATAAACCTCAGATAATACAAAATTAGATTTAAGCAAAATAGGGATAATCTGATTTTGTATAGTTCCGGACTTTTTTCCATTTCAATAGTCCCAGTTTTCAAGACTTGATTTTCAAATTTCCTTTTATTCTACTATGTCTGAAGATCAATGGATCTATCCATTTTCTATACCTGCTTGTCCATCAGGTTGAAGGAGGGTTGTATCTATCTCCAGTAGTCTGGGGAAAGGTGGAGTATACCCTGGAAAGGTAATCAGTTCATCTCAGGGCAACATGCTGAACACAACATGCACACATAATTTAGAGAGACCTGTCAATCTAAGAGTCCTGTTTTGAACTGAAAGAGGAAGATAATCCATGCATGCATGGGGAGAACATGCAAACTCCCTGCAGAAAGATATAAGGCATGGGTTCAAACCCAGGACCGTCTTGCTGCAAAGCAACATCTACTATGAAATTTGACCAAAATATCTGATCAGTGGTTTTGCAGTTAAGTCAAAAGATTTAACACATTGTTGATCTACTGTAGTTGCCATTCAGATTAGTAGCCATTCAAAATTTCCCCACTTTCCTTGATGGGCCCTTGGCTGGTCCCCTACAATTCATTTTTAAACATCAGCCTTTTTACTAAAATATTATTTCTGTCATTATTTGTGGACATTAGGATCTAAAGAGAGGCGCCATCTCCTGGTTAGACCTTGTAAAAATATGCAAGAGGCAGTCACTCTAGTGGCTGGAAGTTGCAGGGAAGTGGGCAGCCATTCGGCTGGCGTTTGACTGGGAAGGACAATTTTGAATGGACTTAACTGCAACTTTTATTTAGATTTAATACTGTCTGTTCATTTTACCTACATGTTTTCTCTGACTTGAAATAAATGTATGCTTTTGAGCAGCTTAACCAGAGTTTAAAGTAAATATGTCAGACAATCTGAGAAGCTTATGGTGATGACAAGGCGTCCTTTTATCAGACTTGAAGTTCATCTTTAAAGATCAATCACACATAAAACATAGTAGTAATAATTATCAGAGCATAATTATTACCATAAAGCAAATAAAGATATTTCTGTAAGCACTGATTAATTCATACTTTCAATGTTACAAAAGGTAATGGTAAATATCCATGTCCTGTCCAGGAAAGAAACAGTTTAGTGGATGAGCTCTAAGCCAGTTTTCATGTTAAAGGGATGAAAGAGAGCACATACTGTAGAATTAGTCACGGTAAAAGTTAAGCTTTATGGTGTCACAGCTGAATGGAGTATCTGAACAGATGAAACTACAATGGAAAAAAAGCAGTCAGAATAAGTTGGATTTAAACCAAATGATTAAAAGTATAATGTATAATAAGGAAAACTGGCCCCTCTGTCCTCCAGCTACCTAAGCCTATAGCAGCATAACTGTATAGAGATGGCTCTGCTCCTATAAACATGATTTAATGGCCCCACACACTATCTAACAGACCACACATATTTTGTTCTATAGATTGCTGTCTACATTTATCTTTGGAGTTATAATTTCCGTTTTTCTGAATAAGATATTAAAATTGCCTTAATACATGTTTAAAATACTTCTATAACTTCGCCAAAATGTTTAGTACAGCAGCAATGGAGCACTGGAAGACTGTTTTTGTGCATCCTGAGGTTGAAGGAAAAGAGGAACACCCTGGCTTCCCCTGACCTTTGTAACTTTATAAACACAGATTATTGATTAAAACACTATACAAAGAAGACCCTCAGTTGATCAGTGACCATCTTTTCAAAAAGTTTTACCATTAGGACACATGATCATAGAAAATTGCTTATAGTATTTTACCTCTGAAGCTTCAGCAAAAAAAATGATAAAAAAGAAAGAAAGCAGACTTTAAAACTTTGGGTATTTTTTGGTATTTTAGGCTTAAGTTACAAATTGTGGGGTACAGTAGACTTGGCAATGAAGTCAGCAACCAAGTGGTAGATAAGAAGTGGAAGTTAAGGACAAAGAGTCTTTTTCCATAATTTTTTTTTGTACTTTAAAAAAAGTCTTCAATAGACACTGGAGGGAATTATATCATTCAATGATTATCATTCAGTGATTACATAACCTCGAGGAATTCAAAATAGGTGGAGTTTAATTAGGGTTTAATAATGGTATGAGACATGCCAGCCAGGATCACATGTTCAATAAAACCATTGAGAAAGTTGAACTTTCTTTCAATCTTATCCTTTTTATTACAGTAGGAAATCAGGTGTAGGCTGCGAAAAATATTTAAAACTAATCATATGTTTCCCATACCAAACTTTGCTTTTTGTTTTTTTTTTTGCTGCAGATGCTATAATGGAGTTTAGTGAAGGAATTTTGACTGTTTATGGCCCTAATGAAACAGCGTCTATATTTGCTACATATCCATCTGAATACCTTTCATTAGCAGGGAGTTTTCTTGACCAGGTAAGTTTTTTAAAACCGTTCTTAAGCAATTTATCTTTTAATGAGAACAAGATTAATTGTAAAAATCTTAATTTCATCAGGTAGTGGGCACTGGCACACTGTTATTGTGCATCCTGAGCCTGACCGAAAAGAGGAACACCCCGGCTCCCCCTGACCTGATTGCACCCATAGTTGCAGGGATTGTGCTTGGCATTATAATGTCCATGTCGGCCAACTGTGGTGCCGCCTTAAATCCTGCCCGCGACCTTGGACCACGCCTCCTCACACTGACTGCAGGCTGGGGAACTGAAGTCTTTACGTAAGAACTTTACCCTGCATTGCATATGAACCTCAAATCCACAGCCAGACAACAAAAGCAAAACTTCTTAACACATTTATCAGAAATGCATGCTTTGTATTTGCAATCAGTAAGATAAGCATCGCCATTTTTACAGAACACTTGATAAGAATTTTCTGTTTGTTCCACAACACCTGCATCTATTGCTCTAAGACGCAGTGACGGTTGTTCAACAAATACCTAACTTACAAGACAGTGTAAGAGTGGCTTTTCACTGCCGACTTGTTATTCATTACAAATTCAATGGAAATAGCTGTGCATATAATTAATTTATAGTCATAGCTTCCCTAAAAAAGACAATTGATCCTTCAAAGGTCAAGGGATCATTACCTAGAAAGTATAGAAGTGTATAAAGAGACATGATTTCCAATATCTTTCTGTTTAATTGTTAAAATAAAAGGCTATATTTGGCTTAAATGTAATAATTGGATAATGATCCCTGATCTCAGCTGATTAACATTGTAGTGCAATCTATTAACTTAGTCCCGGTTTGCACTAAAACATTTTGATACTTAGATCTCAGCACTACTAAATACTGATACAACCTTTTTTCTTTCTTTTTCTTCTTCAATTGAGTTTATTTATATAGCCCCAATTCACAATAAATGTCATCTCAAGGTACTTTACAGTTCACCAGATCGTACAGTCAGATTGATTCAGTTTTCTGTCTAAGGAAAACCAGCTGATCTCATCGAGTCATTGACTCAAAGACAATCTCTCACACTAAGCATGCTTGTAGCGACAGTGGAGAGGAAAAACTCCCTTTTAACAGGAAGAAACCTCCAGCAGAACCAGGCTCAGTGTGAGCGGCCATCTGCTGAGGCCGACTGGGGTTCAAGGAGACAGAAGCAGAGATACAGAAAGAAGCAGAGATACAAACGGCCACTGTCTTAAATCTCTTTAAGACTTTAGATTTTTTTATTTAATTGAGGATGATGATGATGCAATGTTAAATTCCAACAGATAAAAGCAGAACACCAAACAAAGTTTGTGATACCATTCAAACTTTTTTACCACAATTCATTTGGTGTATGTTGGGTGAGCGATATGTTATCTTTCAGTGCAGTTTACCTTTGTGTCCATAGCTGTAAACTGTCTGAATGATGAGATCCTATGATGATATGGCAACCGTGGCTTAGGAATCAAAATGGAGTGAATTGCCCAAGTTAAAGCAAAAAACTCAGTGAGGCAACAAATATCTCTTAGTTCTTGGTTGCTTCGTGAAAAAAAAATATAATGGAAAACAAGACTCATTCTTAAAATTCATTCTTGGGGTGAAAAACGAAATAAAACATTTGCGGACATTCTTTAAAGTTTATCGAATAGACCTTATAGTTTGTCTAATTTTACAATAGTCACAAATATGTTACCATGGCATTGATTACTATGGAAAACATGTAAATCTTGAACATGTTATGAATTTTCCTATTTATTATTTTTCCTCAGGTGTTACAATTATTGGTTTTGGGTACCAATAGTAGCTCCGATAACTGGGGCTCTTGCAGGCACCTCCTTGTATTTGTTCTTCATCGAATGGCAACTGCCTGATGAACCAATGGAGAAGCTCCCAACAATCTCTACTGTCATCAAAAACTCTTCTGCCATATTGGAGAAAGAAGTTGTCCTGAAGTCAACACACTTCTAGTTCCTCATTGTTAACTGGAGTACTTTCAGTCCATTTTGAATAACTACTTATTGTTCATTTTAGTTGGTTGATGATTTTTGAGAAAGATAAAGCATTTATCTCTGCAGATAAAACACTTAAATCACATTAACATATGTTAATAAGCAAACTGTGTACTTCTCTACAAGGATGAGTTACGCTTATAAATGTGTTGCATCAATTTGCCTTAACTTATCAAGAAGGTCTCAAATGCCAAAACTGATGTGAAAACAGTTTACAGAACAAGTAGGCCTGATCGGATCATTAGAAGCAAAGTGAAGGCTAAAAACCTTGCCAAGAGAAGACGGCACATAGATAATAGAAATAGAAGTCCATGTCCAGAGGAGTGTGATCACAATTTTCAAAGCTCTACCCAAATAAATCTGATTTGTGCCAAAGTTGGGCTGCTACTGATACAGGAACAGGAACCTGAGGAAACCAAGAAAAACAAAAAACAGAAACACAGAATCCAAGAGATCTAAACAATGTGTAAACTGAAACAATAAAACAAGGACTCAACAAACATAAGCGTCTACATGTCAAGAGAAGGAGATGAAATGTGATAAGTTTTGATTGTGAGTGGCATAGGAGTGGCATTCATAAGTGTTTATTATGCAATGAATGAGTTTGAGCAAGACAAAATTTACTAGGTCCTCACCAAACAATGATTCAAATCTTTTCAAGTTCACTACGTATTTCAGCTATAATTCCTTTTATTGAAAATATTAGATGAAGTTACCACTTTCTAAGCACAATAAGCATTTGTAAATAATAATGTTTAGCATGCATTATATGATAAAACTGTAATAAACACTATATCTCATTGCCTCACTGTAAAGTGTTACCTCATTTATTTATACTTGCTGGTGCTTAGTGCTATTTTCCTTTATTTATCATTTTAACTAAAGCAACACTAAAGTCATGTTCATCAACAGCAGCAACAATGGCAGGACGTACTTTATTGATGCTGAACTTAAATGAGAAAATCATTATTTACATATATATAAAAATTGAGAGTGAAGTGAGAGTTTGGACCTTTTATGTAAATTAAATAGTTCAATATAGATTCCATTCAAAAACAGTTCATTGGTGCCATAGGGAAATTAAATAAAAGAATAATTAAATAGATTAAATACCAGATAATTCTGAGGTAAATTCAGTATTTTACAGTTGACCACCATGAGCAATAAGTACATGCCCCGCAACCAAATATTCCATGGCAAACTGTTGGCAGCAGAATAACCTTGAGGAACCAAGTACGATAGTAGCTCAGCCACAAAGTGTTACATCAAAAATATGCAAAAGAAGCATTAGTGAAGATTTAGAGTAACGCAAACAGATGATTAGAAGAGGAAAGTCTCCAAATTAAAACAGCTGCTGCAGATCACCAAACCTATTTAGGCATTTAGATTAAAACAGTGCATAGAGTGCTTCATTCATTCATTGATATGTTGTGCCATTCTAAAAGGGGTATCTGAGTTTGGTAGTTGCAGGGATTGAATTTCAATTGAATTTCTTGAATTGAAGTGAAAATCTAGGGGCAGTATATCAAGAAATGTTAAATAATTTCATAATCGAGATTGTGGAAGAACAATCTGTCCCTTACTTTTTCAGTATGTCTGCACACCAATGCATCAAGTGCCAGTTATGTAAATTAAGAGGGGCCATTTGTCTTCAAAGTGATTTTTTTAAATGCATCATATGTGTCTGCAATTCAACACTCGCTTGAGGAGGTGAGCTCCTGTTAGCTCCTGACATTAGAGGAGCATTGCTGTCTGACTCAGCTCTAACTATAAGATAATTTTATGGATTTGTTCTGTTTTTTTTAAGAGACACAACTGTATAGTAGTGTCAAATGGAGTCCAGGTGGGATGATGGGCAAATGCGCCTGTGACATTCTCTTTGCATTTAACATCAGCGCTAATGTCAAAGCATACATTTGAAGAGATAGCCTTATTCCCCAAATGTTAATCAAGATCTAGTTCAATGTATTTATTCCTCTAGAGAACAAACAGGACAAAAATATATTTTCTGCATTTCTTTGTCAATGGATATTCCTTTATTTAAAAAAACATATCCTTTAAAAGTCAAAAGTATTGTTTGAGGAGTAAAAGCTAAAAAAATGTTTGGCACAAATTTTGCCAGTCCTGCTGATGAAAGAGGGGTTATAGAAAACAGAAAGTGTGGTAATTATAATGTTGGATTTAAAGCATGTACTGTTCATTTCTATTGGTTTGATTGATTTGTTTTCTTAGATATAAGAAATATCTCTGTTTTTGGTATGTACTGTACCTCTAAGGTTAGCTCAGTAAATTGGGTTTGCTACAAACTCATCAAAAATATCTCAAAGTATGAATTCAGGTGTTTAACTATAACAGATGAGTTAGAGTTAGTTAGCTTATCAGTTAGTTGTTTTTTTATTTGTACAGTAAAACACAGCTGTTCCTATCTTTGGCAGATCTAAAACACTAAATGCTTAAAGTAATTCATCTCTCAGAACTGAACTCAAATCCTAAGAGCTGTTTCAGAAAGTTCCAAGATGATTTGTTAATTGTCTAGAGAATATTTTCTATAAGTACTGTACATTAACACTTTACATAAGCTTTTTTGTATTCATATAAAGAAACTGAAAGGTATTTCTACAATCCACATCTCAATTCTGTAAATTTAAATTTTTAAATCATCATTAAATTTCTCTGTGCAGAAGACTTCATGAAGACTTTTGGATTCATGTGTTGTTGTTTTTTTAGCCCACATTTTTGCGTTACCTTTAAAAGTAGTGTGCACAAACATTTTTTATGTTTTTTTTAAGCATTTGTGTTGTTTTATGTTTCAATTTATTTCTAAAACTTCTACTGATGAGATGCAAATTTAGTTTGTTCTAGAGGACATGGGCGGTTCTAGACAGGGGCCAAAAGGGAACCAGGGCCCCTTTAGAAATGATCCTGGCCCTGTTTATCAGAATCAGAATCAGAATCAGAATCAGAATCAAGTTTATTGCCAAGTAGGTTTGCACTTACAAGGAATTTGACTTGGTGTTGTTGGTGCAGACAAAAAACAAAACAAAATAGCAAAATAAGATAGAATATATATAAATATATATATATATATATATATATATATATACACAGAAGCTATATACTGTACAAACAGTAGACTGTGCGTTAATGTAACGCAGAAATCCTGAATGGGGGAGAGAAACATTGTTCAGTTTCACGGGCGGGTCTTGGCCTTGTTGATAAGGCCGATAGCAGATGGGAAAAAACTGTTTTTGTGACGGGAGGTTCTGGTCCTGATGGACCGCAGCCTCCTGCCAGAGGGTAGTGACAATAGTGAAATAGTCTGTGACTGGGGTGCGAGGGATCAGCCACAATCTTCCCTGCACGACTCAGAGTCCTGGAGGCGTGCAGCTCCTGGAGAGATGGGAGGTTGCAGCCAATCACCTTCTCTGCAGACCGGATGACACGCTGCAGTCTGCTCTTGTCCTTAGCGGTGGCTCCAGCGTACCAGATGGTGATGGAGGAAGTGAGGATGGACTCAATGATGGAGGAGTAGAACTGCACCATCATTGTCCTGGGCAGGTTGAATTTCTTCAGCTGAAGCAGGAAGTACATCCTCTGCTGGGCTTTCTTGGTGAGGGAGTCGATGTTCAGCTCCCACTTTAGGTCCTGGGAGATGATAGTTCCCAGGAAGCGGAAAGACTCCACAGTGTCAATGGTGGAGTCACAGAGGGTGATGGGGGTAGCTGGGGCTGTGCTCTTTCTGAAGTCCACAACCAACTCCACTGTTTTTAGAGCGTTGAGCTCCAGGTTGTTCTCCCTGCAGGTTGTCCCTCCCTTATGGTCCTTGTACCAAAGATTAACACAAAAAGAAATGTATGATAAATAAATTATGATTTGAGCTGGAACAGAATAAAAGGATAAGTCCTTTGGGAAAATTTAAGTTTTTAGGGTTTTTTTTATATTGATGATTTCAAAAGGAACTTGCTGGACATTCAGGCTCAGGGATATTGGGATGGGATTACACTTTTCATCTGCTAGATTTAAGGGCACCACGCTGAAAATGCCTCTTTAGTTCAATGTATATATCAAACAATACATTTTAGCCCTGTTTTTTTATTTCATTCTTTTGTTCAATGACCCTCATGAAAAAATACTTGTCCCATCCTGCCCCTTTCCCATTAAATTGGGTTCAGAACGTGCATTACTATAAGGTGAGTGTGGATTAGGGCTGTCCTCCTACCAATCAGGTTTGCTTGCTATTACCGGATTACTTTTTGAACACTATGCATACATTGTCTTTTACATCACTTGCCAAAAATATAAGTGTTTTGAGAGTTCAAGCACCTGTGGAGCATAGGAGAACCCTGCTGGTAAGAAAAGCCCATAAAGCAGCGGCTCCATAGGTCTCCTACATCATAAGAATCTAATGATAAGAACAGATAAGAAACTGAATAACAGACAGAAGAGTCTAATAATCAGTTGTGTACAGTCTTAAAACCAAGCAGGGTTACTGCTGTTTCATAATTGTGGAGTCCAGAGTCCAGTTAGAAAGCTGTTGTCAGTCAGATTCATGAGGGGTTCTGTCTATAAGACTCTGTCCTCTGAGAATCGTATTACAAAAAATGTCATTAGCTGTTACCTTCCTTTCTCCTAAATCTACTGCTGTGATTTCATATGTGTTCATGTCTATAGCATGTTTTATATACACTCCTTTAGTAGGTTTTCATCCACTCTAAACATTTGTTTTTATATAAGCAGAAAAGTTGCATCTAACAAAAAAGTGATGAAAATAAAATCCATGTACTAATTATCGTCTTTTTCCATGTCTAGAAAGTTGCTGACATGTTGTAAAACACCATCTGGTTTAACAGCCGCTATTAAATGTGTTCTTTCATCTAAAAATTTATGGTCCCTGTTCATATAAGCAACCTCTAACAGAGGAAGCCAATCATATTATCTGTGACAGATATTACTGTGGTGATAATAACTGAGCTATAGTCTTTAGTGTTTGTCCGACTTTGCACAGTGTTGTGGCAAACCTGGAGAGACAAGAGATACAGCCAGCACATACTTGGATGCTTGATCGGAGAGGAGCAATAATTTAGTCTTAGTGCAGTCTCCTTTTCTCTAAAGCTCATTGCAGCAGTTCCTGAGCGGTCACAGAGAGGATAGTTGGAGAGTGAGCCATGCTGAAGCTACGTACACTGAGAGTGAGGGCTGCCCTGGTGCGAGAATGCATGGCTGAGTTTCTGGGAACATTTGTTCTTCTGGTGAGTAACACTTGACTTTTAGCAATATTTAGCAACCATTCAGTTATTTTAATCTGGTTTATCAAAGAGTATAACATTCATACTCAATTTTCACTCAGCAATTCTTAGAGTCCAAGAATAATTTAATTTAAATATCTTGTCAAATGTTTCTATAACACTAAATAATGAGAAAACTCCAACCCATAAAGCTTTATCTAATATATTATTTATGTTTACTTTGTAAAATTCCCTATTTGTGATTATTATTTGAATCAGTTTAGGCAATAAGGGTTCATCACCAGTTGGCCCATACAGAAAAATCAGGGCAGGCCCACGGATACATAGAATAATGGAAGGGGGCTGATATTAATGGATAACCTGCAAAAAATCATGGATAACTGGTTAATGTTGGGATGTATCTTTAAACACAAAGACATGGTAAAAAAAAAAAAAAAAAATGTGGCCTGAAGCTGTCTGGTTATGATTTACCACACCTTGTTAATGGTGGCACCTATCCTCATGCAATTAGTTATCCAACTTTTTAGTTGTATAAGATAACATTTCAGTGGCTGAAAAGCCCCTAGGCTGTTGTGCTTATGTTTCGCTACAGGTAACCCTCAAAGAGCTCCCAATAATGTGCTATGCACCAAGTCTATATCATAACCATCAAAGAGCTTAATAAAAGATGACAATAAATCCAATAGCCACATTATTAGTCCAATGTTTATATGCTTCCCTAATTAGTATGCTTTTTGCAGGGAATTCGTAACAGCGAAAGTAAGCATATTTAAAGATCAATCTGAATAAGCATAAGGAGTCCGATTGATTGGACTAAGCATAAGGATTTTTAATAATTTTTACTGGGGAAATAAGGCTGACACCCCCACTGTCAGCATTTCAATACAGATTTAGTGGTATATCGGAGAGGGGGCTGGTCTAACTGATGAACCTGAAAACAATCATGAATAACTGGTTAATGTTGGGATGTGTCTGTAAAAACAAAGAGATGCCTAAAATTGTTGCATCAGACTCTTCCCGTGTCTTTTTTTTTTATTTTTTTGAGTTTTTACGTTACTAGTGGCTCCTTTTTTTGACAGTAGGCTGACAGGAAAGGGGTAATGAGATAGGGGAAGAGACATGCAGCAAAGGACGATAGGCCAGATTCAAACCCGGGTGGAGGACTAAGGCCTTCGTACATGGGTTGTGCGTGCTAAACACTGCGCCGCCTGCACGCTTGGCATCCTTCCCCTAACTCTGTTAAAGTGGGCCGCTGTGATACTTGAGCCTAACCCCTCCTCTTCTCTCCTCACGCTGGATTATTGCTCAAATTATCCAGATTTTAAAGACCTCTGAACCTAACATGTTTTACCATGCTTAGAGCTTGGCAAAGGTCTGTTTGGTTAGATGGACATGATTCGCCTAATCATTAGCCACCACCCACTAGCGCCAAACCCTTTTCCATTAGATAAGTCAGAACACCTATTTGCCTGAACCTGTCCATTTATTATTTAACTCACCTAGTTAATGGTGGCACCTATCTTCATATAACAGCATTTGTTAGATTAGATAACATTTTATTGTCTAAAAAGCCCAAAGGGTGATGTTTATAACTTACGTTTTGCCACAGCAACCTTAGAAGATATCCCAATAATTGAATGTACCATGCACCAAGTTTATATTAAAATCACCAAATAGCTAAACAAAAGATCAATAAATCTAATGTCAATTAGTAAAAACTAGGCTTCCAATATTTTTTTTGCAGTGAATTAGTGACAACAAAAATTAAGAACATTTAAAGATCAATGACCAAATTTAACTAAGAATAAGGATTTTTACCTCCTGCAAGGAGGTTGTGTTTTTAGTAGAGTTTATGTGTATTTGTTTGTTTATGTACAGGATAACTTGAATAGTAATGAAAGGAATTGCACCTCAGCACAAGGAACAATCCATTTCATGTTGGTGATGATCCACATCATCATCCAAATGCAGGCATTTTTTAAAGGATTCTCTAACATTATGCGGCAGAACAAGCAGTTCCACCCTAAACCAGAGCGTGTCAGTTTTGACTACTGACAGATCCAGCATCCATCCAGAAGTATTATAGGGAAGACAAAAACACAGGGAAGATGAGCCATGCCACGCTCGAAGTTTCAATCTGCTGATCAAACAAGAAAGCAGAGCAAATTAAGAAGGTGAGAGTAGAACAAACACCAGAGGCTGCAGACATATAATATGCCTTATTTATAAACCAAGAAAAGGATCTTTAGAGACCAAAGGTGCACCTCATGCCAAGGAAAAGTTCATTAAAATTTGGAAATTATCCAGATCATATGTGAGTTTTAGATATAGGTGTAAGTCACAATATGGGGCAACATGCTTTTGTAGTTTAATAATGTTTTATACAGAAACAAGGCTGGCCTCACCTTATTTAACAGGCCGTGTCGCTCACTTTGCCTATTGAAAAAAAGAAACACACACACACCCACACATAAAACCCTATATCAATCTTCAAATAAAAAGTATGTGCCAGGTATTGGTCCTAATAGAGTGTTTACTGTTTTTTTTTCTCTTTTTAAGCTTGACCAGATTTTCTTACTGGGTGCACTCAGCAGATATAAATAAATATTGTTGTACACTGTCACCAGCTGCTGGCACCATGTACAGTACTCACACAATCATACAATTTTACTAACAAAAATCATTCAGCCCCAGGTCAAACATATTTCAGTTAAAAACTCTTGACTAACAAGTGAAACTTAACTAAACTAAGCTACTATGTACACACATGGTTGAAAAATCTAATTAATAAGATGAAGCAATGCATCAGTTCAGCATGGATTCTATGTTTGAGATCGGAAGTTTATCTTGAAAAAAAAGTCCACAGCAGAGCCTAATACATATTCCTCAATCAATGATAAAAGTTAATATTAACATGGCCATTCAACATATTCTCATTATCAGTTCGTATGAAATCGTATGAAAAGTTATGCACAGTATTTCGTACGTTTTGGACGTTTTTCCTCAAAAAAACAGATCAGTGCGTATGCGCAGGCAGAAAGAGAATAAACCAGATCCGCGAACGGACGTCAAACTGGGAAAAACAGTGCAATAATTACTTCTTCATGTCTCTAACTACATTTCTTGATGTTTTGTATCTTAGGGTTAGGGTCAGGGTTAGGGTTAATTGTATGTTAAATTCTATGTTATTGTATGGTGCGTAAGATTCGCATGCGCAAGGATATCTTGTCTCGAGGCAAGACGTAAAAATGCGACGAAATAAGACGAAATAAGACGAAAAAAATGTCTAAAACGTCCGAAATTACGGTGCATAACTTTTCGTACGATTTCATACGAACTCATATTGAGAATACACTGGGCCATTGGTCCTCAATCCAAAACTGATATACAATGGTTTATGGCCAAACAATACGATGTTAAGATTTTAAGAATTTTGAGATTGTCTACAAATTTCAAAACTAACATAAATGTCATTTCATCACAGAATTTGTGGATTTTAAAGTTCTACAAAATGTTTATTTTGATGGAACTGTAGAAAACAGCATAGGCATCTAAGGCAGGAACCTCGGCAAGAGGAGAACACAGGTTAGTGACCATGTCTATTTGGCGGAAGATGCTAATGAACGTGTGGGTCACTGACCTGTTTTTAAAGTTCAGTCTGAGCCCAGGCGACGAGGTAGGTACCAACAAGACACGAGGGGTGCCTCCGAAAGAGTCCCCGACACTGAAGTCCCAGAGGTTGGAGGACCGGCAGGCTATCAGAACCGAGCAGACAAAGGAAGGGATAACCCAGAGGGTGAAGCCAAAGCTGGTGTAGAGGACATGCTCAGGAGTCAAAGTCAGGAGATCATAGATACCAAGAGGTACCAAAGGCCAGTATCTATCAGTCAACATGTCCTTCTCTGTGGGAGTGATGTCGGCCATGTATCTGGTCAAGGGGATCTCAGGTAAGAATATATTGCAAAGCTATGTGTATACTTACTTGGATATTCTACTTGGATACAATTGATTAAAAATAAAAAATAAAACATTTCTCCTGACCCCCCCTAAAAGGTGAAATATCGAATCCAATAACAGATAAATAACAGATCAGATTTATCCTTTTATTCATTCAATGTAAAGCTAAGGCTATTTAAATTCACCATACCTATAGATAAAGCAAATTAACATTATATATATATATATTACTCCTTTTTTCCCCAGGTGCCCATCTGAACCCCGCAGTGACTCTAAGTTTCTGTGTTGTGAGGAGGGTAAAGTGGGGAAGGCTGGTACCGTACTGCCTCTCCCAGGTGCTCGGAGCATATGTGGCATCAGCGCTGGCCTATGCAGTCTACTACGGTTGGTCTTATCATCTTACTGAGCTGTTCCAACTAATAAAAAGCATTGAGTGCAAACGAACCAAGTCCCAAAAAAAAAAGGTCAACTTTTTTTTTTTATCTTCTCAACACTTCTTAACACAGAGACTGAAAAATAGGCCACATAGTTATTGCATTTGAATAGATTTGAAACAAATATCTGGTTTTGGAGTTTGCCGGGCACCCTCTTTGGTACTCCCAGTTTTGATTACAACCGAGAAACACGCAACAACACAACATTTGCCAGAAAGGACACTGTAAAAAAAAAAAAAAGGCGTATATATTGGGGGGAATGTCGGGCTACCCTGAGAAATTTCATGCATTTAAACTCAAACGAAACACCCCAGGCTAGGACTGAAACCCAGGATGTTCTGGTTGCGCGATAAAAATATTGCATTTTTGTGATCAATAATCCATTTTAATTGACGCAAAGAATGAGAAGCTTACTAAAGAGTTTGACTGCATTCAATCTAATAATTTTTTATCATTATGATGCTTTCCTTTTAAAACTCTCCAAAACACCAGGGATGCTCAGATTTCCACACATCTGCAACCAAAAGTTTGTTTCTGATGTTAAAACATGTTTCTGTTCCAGATGCTATAATGGAGTTTAGTGGAGGAGTCTTGACCGTTTATGGCCCAAATGAAACAGCATCTATATTTGCCACATATCCAGCTGAGTACCTTACATTAGGCAGGAGTTTCCTTGATCAAGTCGGTGTTTTTCAAATTTAAAGCACTGCTTTGATAAAATTCCACAAACCTGTGGTGAATGCATAAATCTCTCTCTCATCAGGTAGTGGGTACTGGCATATTGATGTTATGCATCCTAGGTTTGGAAGAAAAGAGGAATACCCCTGCACCCTCAGATCTGGTTCCTCCTATAGTTGCAACAATTGTGCTCGGGATCGGGATATCCATGTCAGCGAACTGTGGCGCTGCAATAAATCCTGCTCGTGACCTTGGGCCACGCCTCTTCACTTTGACTGCCGGCTGGGGGACTGAAGTCTTTACGTAAGAATCTTATCTTGGTTTGCCTATGAACATCAACACTCTCAGAGATTATATGTTTTTAAAAGAAACAGCATTTTCATACTCTTAGGATACAGTGTGTACCGGATGAGGTATATCACCTTTTATTGAGCAGATAATATCAATGCTGTTTTCTAACAAGAAAGAGCTACTATCATGAGAAGGATTTGAAAAATACATTATTTTCTGCTTGAAGCAACCTTTCCAGTTTTGTCTCTTTCTGAAACAGAAGCAATAACACTGAAACTTTTTTTAATCTCTTCTTTTTTTGTGATTGCTCCTCAGGTGTTACAATTACTGGTTCTGGGTTCCATTGGTGGCTCCACTTATTGGAGGCCCTCTAGCGTCTCTGCTTTATTTGATCTTCATTGAATGGCAGCTGCCTGACCCAGAACCCTCTCCAAGCCTCTCAACAGATTCCAGCATTAAAAACAGCATCAAACCACCTGCAAGACTGGCAATAGGAGGCGACCTAAAGTCGACATATTTTTAGATTGGTAACATAATAATAGTGTTCTAAAGTTTTACAACCAAATAGATGGCATAAGCAGATTGAGTTAAAATGTAGTATATATTTAGGTATTTCTTTAAAGTGCATACATCTCAGGTGTTCCTTTTAAAGGAGTTAAAAATATTTAATATGAAACACTAATAATGTAAAGAAAAATTTAAAAAGTAATAATTCGGTTTGTTTGTGTGCACAGTCGGTCCCTGATTTAATGAGTTTAATGAGTTTCTAGAGTGGGTCACCCTTGGTTAAAGGATCAACTGTTCAATATGTATCCTGTCTCTCTACAAAAGGTTTTGTTGGGATAATTATCATTGAAAATGTGTGAGTTTATCACACCCTGGTATGGGCTGCCTGTTGTGCGTCAGAACTGATGTTTTAATCTAATTAGGACAGTTCCTCTGTGTGGATATACAGTTATAATCTTCATTTTGTACGTGACAAAGATTTGGAAATGGAATGAGTCCTTCAGCTGAGAACGAAGTGTAATAGGCAGGCCAGTACAAGAAGAAACATGACAGCTATCACATTTAGAGTCAGTTTGAAAATAGATTAAATAGATTCTATAAATAATTTAATTTATCTTTAACAGGAGAGAAACAAGGTATTTTAGCTCTTGGTTTTAATATAAGCTGAATGTGGCCAAAATAACTTTTACATCATACAATCAAATTACAGATTAGTGATGACATCAAGCTAGTAAAAACATTTAATGGCAAACATGAAAACGCTTTTTTTTTTTTTTTGCATGACAACAATTGAGGTCATTTACTCCTTATGGAGAACCATTTGTGTGGATTATATGTGATATAACAATTTATCACTTTGGAGACATCTATTACTGTTAACCCCCGCCCCTCTTTTCAGTGCAATTTATATGCCACTTTTCAAATGGAGAATGTAAAAACACAATTTTTTTTACCCTTGTTGTGGTGTGCAATTAGACAGTGAGAAATTCTACAGAATATCAGCCTGCCACTTGCTAGTTTAGAGGCTAATACAGCCGCCAGCTGCTCTGTGTGAAATATAATCCTGACAGATTGATAGGAAACACAGGTTTGAGCCTCATAGGTCAACAAACAATAAAATCTGAGCAGCAGCAGGGATCAAGCTCAACCTGACTAAGAGGTTACGTAAGGCTTGCCATCCACAACGTCGGGAAGTTAACCCATGGGGTTCCCCCCCTTTTCTTTTTCTTATCAATTACTGTATTTTTTTTTTTATTTTACATGACCTGTTATTAAAAAAAAGGATTGAAAGTTTGCTGTTCTTCTTCTGAGATATGGTTTTTGCTTTGGTGTGAGTTCAACAGAGAGGAGAACCTTATGCAAGCAAATCTGGGCCTTCAATAAATCCAGAAAAGAGAGAAGAGGGTTTAATATTTATTTAAATTAATAATTTATGTATTGAATTGTTTAAATTACTTTTACAACAAAAACTTTTAAATAAAATGCATAAGATGCCCCCTCAATACATTTATAATGATAATATGAATGTTACAAAAATCGAATATTTAAAATTTCTTTCCAGGGTCCAAAAATTTTGACTGTTAGTTTAATTGGCTTCTCTAAATTCTCATTAGGTGTGATTGTGTGTGTGAATGGTTGATTGTCCTGTTTTTCTCTGTGTTGCCCTGCAATGGAGTGGCGACCTGTCCAGAGTGTACACTGCGTCTCACCCGTAGACAGCTGGAGATAGGCACCAGCAGGGATAAGCGTAAAGGAAAATGGATGGATGAATGGATTCACAATTTCTTAATAATTAGGATTTAATTGAGAACATACCTACCACCAATTTTATTGCTACCCCTGGTAAAGATCTGAAAGTCTTGAAATAATATCAAATTTTGAAAATTCTTTATGATTCAGTTTCAGTTTTTACAAAAGCATCCATGACACATCTATCGGCTCTATCATTCTTTTGTAATTTGTAATATAAGTGGATCTATGTGTTTGTGTATTTTTAATTACTTAATGTAACTTCCAGCTCATTGGAGTTCAAAAATCAGAGTAAGACTCCAAGGAAAACAATAGTAACAATCAAGCTCAGAGGACGACTAAGGCTGTACACCGTCTCCATACATTGTCAGGGGAACAGGAAGGGCAGTGATCCACTGGAAAAAAGAATTATGGACTTGGAACATTAGGAACTTTGTTTTCATATTTTTGTTTCTCTTTTTAAACTGTTTTTAAGTATTACTGGAAAGATGTTTTCATTTTATTATGATATTTGATACTATGTATAATCGCTTTTTTTATGTGTTTTTAAGGGATGCCTTTGGACCTTGAGTTTATCAATTAAAATAGTGCTTATAACCCCAAAAATGTGAAGACAGTTTTTTTTTTCCCAGAGGGAGATACTAATACAATAGATATTTTTTTTTTTTTTTATGAACATTCATCCATCCTTTTTATCCTATTCTGTCAGAGTCAGGTGGGACCGCTGCCTATCTCCAGCTCTCCATAGCTAAAAGGCAGAGTGAACTCTGGACAGGTCACCAGTCTGTAACAGGGCGACACAGAGACATATAACCATGCAAACACACTTAAGTACAATTTACATATGCCAATTAACCTAACAGTAACACGGAAGGACATTCAAACCCCAATGCAGAACGTATCTAGGAATCAGACCGGGGACCTTCTTGTCCCGGCAACAGTGCTACAAACTGATCTGAACAGTGAGAGGGTGTTGTAGAGCGCAAATTAAACAGCAGAGGGTGCAATGATGCCAAATAGATAAAGGCTGTAGATAAGGTGCCTGTTTGGGCTTAAAAAAACAGCTGTGGATAAAATAAAATAATAAAAAAAAATGGGGGGAATTGGTGAAAACCAGTTTATTAGCTTGTCTTCAGAGCTGCAGATGTAAGACAGAATGAGAGAGAAATGTAAAGCTTGCCAAAATTACTTTACTGGGAACAGGAAGTTAAGCTAAAGAAGTTGTAGTAAGTGAAACCCTCCCTCCCACCTCCTCTCTCTCTCTCTCTTCCTCTCTCTCTCCTCCTCTAGTCAATGCCAACCCTCCCTGATCTTGACCCATTGAATCTTTGCACAGCATCCACCTCTGCTCTACTGTCTTCTATTCTTTTCCAAACTGAGTCTACCAATCGTAAGGTTGTATCTAACTGAACTCTGAACCTCATCATGACCTAAAACTCTGCACAATTTTTCTCCAGAAACACATTTCTGATGCAAAGTTGAAAAAGGTAGGAGGATTCTGAGCAGTAAAACAGATGTTATACATGTGGTTTTCTTTTTTGATGTTTTACGACTTATAGATGTAAATTTATTTCTAAATGTTTGTAGTATAACAAAGTTATCATTCATACAGAGCTATTTTTGTCGAAAATGTGGTTAGTTTGGGGGAATTGTTTTTACAAAGTCACTGTCGCTTTCTATGACTCATAATGTTTCTGAAAGTTAGAGTTCCTCTTGTTACCGTAGACACAAACTTTACTCTCATTTACTGAAGGAGTCCAGTGTGATAAATATCTTTCTAAACTGACTTCATCTGTACATGGTGCGACATGAGGTGTTAATAGGAGCAGGTGGACCGGTGGGAACACTGGAGACACTGTATTTTAATGTATGTAATTTGTCTTTTTTCACTCTCACTTTTTCACATTTTTGTGCATACAAGCTCTAATATCTCTGTTTTTCATGGCCAGTTTATGTGAAAAAGCTAAACTAAGCATATATCCATGAAGGGGAAAGAAAAAGAAACATGATTTTCAACCTTGTACCTCTGGCTGACTGGTGGCCAATCTCAAATAGCCATAAAAAAAGATGTTCATTATAGAAAAACATTGGAAGGAAGACTAGGGAGGGAATACTGCTCTGACAATATCAAATTACGCTATTATCCAACAAAAAATTGTATTCAAGTTACCCAGTGTAGTGATATCATTGCAAAAAACAATACAGGATTGCTTAGCACAATTCTGTTTTTTGTGCCAAAGTCCATGTACATCCATTGTTCAAAGGGTTGCTTCAAGTACAGGCCCTCAGTGATTTGTTAATAAGTTAATAGGATGTAGCAGAAGATGAATTCATATAGACTGGATGGTTTATATGTCCCATCTGGCTTGGGAAGGCATTGTGGTGTCCTCAGGTCAGTGGAAGCCAAATAAGGGCTGAATCTACCAAGAAAAGATTCTTTGAAAATACAGAGGCAAGACTATGGCCCCAATCCCAATGTTCACCTTCCACACAACCACTAACCCTAACTCTCTACCACTACACCCTCAAATTGAAGCCACAACAGTTATAGCTTTGTAATCCTCCCTAGAAAATCAGACACCCCTCAAGAAGTGTGTTGCATGAAGAAAAACAAAACAAAACAAAAAATTATAAGGAAATCTTGCAAATGTAACCATAGTTCCCTGACAATAGGAATATTTGTGTTTTATTACAGTTCTCATATAAAGAAGCATACACATTAGTTATGTTTAATCCCATATGAAATCCAGTAACAATCTTGTGAAATAATTGGGTGGCCCAGTTGTTGACTCATGAAATAAGTTTATGTACAGTAGATCAGTTCTCACTACGGTAATGACAAAAGTGTTGAAGGTGATGTTGCAGTTCAAGGCGAGAAATTTCACCAGGGGATTTTCACCACATTGAATCCTCTACCTTTAGATGATTCAGAGAGGTAAACATCTACTTTCATGTCAGCAGTGATGCACATAAAACCCAGATGTCCGGAGCAGGAATTGAGTTTGTCTGTGGTGGTTATAGCAGTTTTAACGGTTTAGAGAAGATGTCAGTGACAGACGGGCAACATAAGAGTGAAAAGGGTATGAAAACTGAAAGAGTATAGAGGTGAGAGGAAAATGACAAGCTGCTCTTGCTCTAAGGTGTTGTACACATGAAATGTTGCAGCATGCTAAAGGAAGGAAATAAAAGGTCAGATTTTCTGATGCTGTGATATGAGTAGAGGACTGTATGATTTCTGAAACGCGTTTAAGTGAATTATCTTAAAATTTGGGATTTTTTGCAGGTATTTTAATGTTAGCATGTTTTCCTCTGCTGCTTTTTGGAATAATATTTTTAATGTATGTTTCTTTGTTCAAAGCTCACCCTGCTTCCCTGCCTCAGGTGTCTCTATGGCCCTCTCCATTAGTTTGTGTACTATTTTCCTTTGTCTTCATTATGATGTTTGCGAGACTACTCTAAATCCCCCTGAATTAAGGTAAAGAGTTTATGAATTAAAACACAGTGGTAATATTTGAAAATCACGTCATGTACCAAAGAAATAGCCACCTTTGTTTTTATCTTTTCTTTTTTTCTATTTCTTTTACCACAATGATTTTTTCGTAAGGTTTTAATTTTCAAAACAAAGTTAAAATTTCCATCAACTTAAATGGTTTCTTCTTTAAATCCAAAAGTACATAAAAGAAAACACTTTATCCCCACAGGAATGACTGTTATTCCTTTACTTGCTAAAAAAGTCACAGGGAGGCTGTAATATCCAAATGTTTTGTTGCCACTGTGGGTTGTGGAGTGCAAAGAGTAACAAGATAGGGTTCACAAAGAAATTTGATGATATACAGAAGGACAGAAAGTGATTCTAGAAACAGTAGCTGGAAGTTAATCTGCCCAGCTTGCATGAAGAAAGGCAGAGCTGCTCTTTCTCAAAGAGTATCGATTGGGTATTTGCTGCCTTTAGTCTGTGTCCATTGTACTGTATGCAGTGCTAAACCCGAGAGAACGACTTGTAATGGCTCATCTGTCATCCTCTGCCTCCAAGATTCTGTACTTAACTTAGACAAAATGCAGTGAATACAAACACCAAGGAGCTCCACAGTAACAAGCCAGTATAATTGAGCTGAGAGGGACACTGCAAAGAAGGGAAGAGATTTTTTAGTATTGTTCTTCGGTCTTCTTAACCGAAGAGAGGGGAATGATAGGGGATCTGCTTGAAGCCACCAGCTCCTCAGAGAGCGTCACAGAGACGGATGCGGCTCTCGGCTGAATGTCATTTCCTCATTACTGCGCTCACAAAGCAGAGGATGGTCTGCTGGATGAGAACGTTAATTCTGTTGTGCAGAGATCTGAATGCATTACTGGTTTAGATCTCATTTTTATCAGTAAATATGCTGTATCGAGTGATTGCATCCAGAATCAAACATTTAGATTTTAAATCAAAAAGGCAATTGTTTATTGACGCCTTTTGCGAGGTGTCCTGTTTTTGTGGTTTTCACTTCATTTTCCCTCCACCTGCTCTGAATCACTACAACCCATAGCTCTTTATTTTGTTATGTAGTTTGTCACAATAAGGCATCTGCTGATCTTACAGAACTGCCTTCTCTTCCATCTCTACAGACAGTCTCATGGGCCTTAGCAACAGGACGGCAGCAGAGTGGAGATGTTCAGAAAGAGGCCTCCTCCAGGTCAGCACCTCATGCCTTCTTTATCAGAGTACTAAAACTGTGAGAAATAGGAAGTGAAACACACCTAAAAATATCCTGAAGCTGTTTGGGTCTCAGACATTTGTTTTACAGTAGACATTTAAGCACAAAGGGTTCAAAACACAAATGTCAGAGTAAGTATTTACACAGTAAACAGAATGTGGGAAAATATTTCTTTTATTATTTAAAGACTATATTCCTG